TGCAGCTCACAAGGTATTTTTACATTTGTGATCTCATTTGAACTTCATAATGATCTGGGAGACCTTAAAGTCACCACCATATATACACTGAAGTTCAGCTAAAACACGCTTCCTATTTTTCCAGTGTGATATCTTTGCTTATGCTATTTTCTTAGTCTATCTTCTCAACTCTAAATAGTCTAATTCTTCCTAGCTTTCAAGGCCCAAGTGAAATTGTAGCTGCTCTAGAAAAAAACTAATCCTTATAAACAAGAGTGCTCTCTTCCCGCTCGAACTCCATCAATGTCAGTGATGACGGTACCAACATTTATTAATGTACATGTGTCATGTGGTATGCTGAGTGCTTTTTATGTGTGACACCCTATCTTCTTTGTCACTCTCTGCATGGACCACAGACACTGTATATGCATCTTCTCTCTCCTACTGACTTCACAGGCCCTCGAGGATATGATCCATGCCTGAGTCATTTCTGCTTTCTCCCATGCCTAGCACAGGGCCTGGCACAGAGTAAGTGCTACATAAATATTTGTTCAACAGATGAATGGATAGGCAGGCAGGCAGAATTAAAGTTTACCTTTGCTTGAACAAATGGTTTAGAAGCATCCTTAAGTACTTGAGAAGTACTCGTTTACAGCCACATAATTAATGGGCTAAATTATAAGCCATTCTTATCTTTTTATAACATAGGTTTCCAGACTTTGGCTAGTGTACTTTATGGATGTGAAAATGAGAAACGTAAATATATGTGTGTGTATATATATATATATATATATATATATATATATAATACAAACATCGTTCTGTGTAAAAATATTCTAGAATCCACAGCAATTTTCTCAAACCAATTATAATTAGCAGGGCTTAGCAAGCTTCTCTCTCCCCTTAGAGTAGTCACAAGGATCATAAATTCTTATGTTGTGAGCCCACAGCCTCCTTGTCCTCTTGCAATTGTGCTGGGCACAGTTGTGAACACAGTGTATGACTGCTGATTAGGTGAGAAGCTTACGTTAGTGCAATTCAGAATTGCCCATTGCAGTTCTGATCCTATTCTGCTAAGAGTCAACACCTTAATAGGGACTCTAAGCCTTGCCAGTTAAGGAACTGAGTTGATGCCTTGAGTTTTCAAAGCTATCTATTTATTTTTATTTCTTGTAAGTTCAACAATGGAAAACTGGTAAGAATAAAGAAACAGGCACTTGTGGATGTGAAGTTCAGTCTGTTCAATTTTGTTTAAGTGATTAAGAATTATAGTTTGTAAATAATTCTCATATTAAAATAGGACCAATCCTTTCACCAGGGGACCACAATTTCACTTTTTACTTGAAGAAATGCAAGTTTATTGTTTTAAGCCAATCCTGATTACAGAAGCCACAGCCACTGCTTTTCTCCCCTACATTGAAGCAAAGATTAACAACCCCAATTCTGACACTCAACTTGTCTTTCAGAACACCTAAGGAAAAATTAGAAGATTAGGGACATAATAGGAAGGTGATGTGAGGCAGACCTGTTGTAATCACAGCACAAAGGCCTGGCCACCCGGGTAGACTCAGAGTGTTTACTCAGAGCAGCATTATCAATTAGTCTGCTTAATTATCTCAGGTTCTGCCAACTCAAAAGCAATTTTTGAAGGCCTGGCTGCACCTTTGTCTTTTATTCTTGATAGTCACAAAGGGCTTTGAGGACAAACCTGACTCTCTGGCTGTGGTGGGTTTCTGGTAGCCAAAACAGGCATTATGTGATTACTCCAATAAAGCAAAACCCACAGGACCTTTCTTCTTAGACATGGCAGTGACCTAGTACAAAATTCTAGTGCATGCAACAAAATGCTTGAGCAGGTCATTGTAGTTCATAATTTAGAATTTTAATTCTCATGAAGAAATGGGGAGCAGTACAAAACAGTCTGTCAGTATAAGAGGTAAACAAATCTGAAGTGATAGGAAAAACTCACTGTATCCCTGTGACCTGGTGGTTATGAAGTGCTGGGAGAATGAAAGATAAGAGAGGAACAATTAGGAGTCATTTTTTTCACCTTTTTGAGGATAGCAGTTTATACAGATTTTGCAACAATTTCCTAGTAAATTAAGCCAGAAACTGTCTGGACTTTTTTTCTAGAATAATCTGCTTTTGTGTTAAGTTCTACTAACAGTAATTTACTAAGCAATTGAAGTTGGAGAAACAAATTGTATCAAGGAAAATGGATTAAGAATTAGTAAAAACCACTGAGCGTTAATCACTGATTCATTTTAAATTCAGTTACATAGGCACATTGAAAGAACTGTATTATATGTTCAGATGTTTATGTATATGGATTTGGATGACTTGAATCATCTTTTGACTTTCTGATCTCCTCTATGAAAAATAGCTCTTCTTCCCTCATTTTGAGACAATAGCACTCAACAATTTGACATCAAAGACCCAGGAGTCCCTATCTGGATTCCTCCCTTCACTCTCTCCCTATATTACAAGCCCTACACTCTCTCCCTCATATTTACTCCAGTTCCTCTTGAGGTCTTTGCTTTTTTTCTATGTCCTAAGCATTTCTCCTTTAGATTATGCAGGAGCCCTTTGGCTAGTACTGCAGACATGCTCATTCTACAACAGAAATATAATTCTTCCTAAACAGTTTCCATGGATTCCACAATTCCAGTCTAGCTTTTGTCTTCCTCTGAGTCTCTCACTCATGGAGCTCATTCGAGACCTCATCTCCTACTCCTCTTTGGTCACAGCAACACCAATGTGAACAAGATACAGTCTTACAGACCCATCTCTCTGTGTGGGCTGCCACAAAGTAGAGCCTGCAGCAAGGATATGGGTGTAAATGGATTATGTGTGGGGAAACAGGGAAGCGGAAAGTGGCTCAAAGATGTGTTCATGGCCTGGCTCCTGTTTGGGACCTCAGAGCAGCTGTACAGAAGTGTCTCTGAACTGCCCTGCTGAGAGTGAGGGAAGCTTTATTGTCTGAAGCCACTCCTGGAGATGTTACTTCTCTTCTCTATGATGAACAGCTGTTTGTCCAGATAACATCCATGGGAAGAGAAATCCAGGAAGCTGTTGGTAGGTGAGCACCAGCTGAGCCAAAGGCACCAAAAACATTTGCTGTACTACAAAGTACATTATTCTCAACTGAATTTTCTCTCCACTTGTCCTGGATCCTTTCAGGTTCAGCCTATGGAAGCTTTCTGACCTCTTCCGGGAGTGCATTTTTTGTACGCTATCTTTTGTGGTAGTGCATATGCTGAAGCTGTGAGTCTGTGAGCCCTACCCCACACCAATGGCAACAGGAGAGTTGACACCGAGCTGTGATAACACAGGGCAGGTACTCAGTGAATATCTTTGGGAGAAAAGCATACCTGCTCAGACAAGATGATCTTGTTTACCATACAGTTAACTAAGAAAATCTTCAAAGAAATGCAACACATGCCCCCACATTCTGAGCAGTAAACATCAAGTTTATAGGCAGAATACCATGGCGTGGGTATTGGTCCTAATTAAGGCCAAGTTTTCCTCAGTGGCTTTCCCTATAAAAATGAGAGGCTATGGATAGCTTTTAGACTTCAAGTGACTGAATCTGTGTATATATGAAAACCATAGCCCACAAACTACATGAAAACCCATATGCGAATGCTGATGTTTGTTATAGTCATTTGGTTTTGAGAAAAGAACAGGTGCTATAGACTTGAGATGCTGTTAAGTTTGTAAGGCTTTGTACACAAAAGAGCCAGGGCCAAAAGAGGCTCTTGTATGAAGACACCAAAAAAGAAGGACATCCACAGGCAGCATGGTAGCCTCTACAAAGACAGGTGCCAATGGCCCAGACGGAGCCCGGTGACGACTACTAGCCTTTGTATTCAATCCTACTTAGGTCACAGGTCCACAAAGTCACCTCTTGAGCTCTTATCTCTTCCCTGGGATTCATCCACATTTCTAGGTGGAGAAAGATTTACTTGGAACCCTGAATACAGGCCATGCTTAGCTTTCCTGCATCTCAGATAGTTAACTGTGACTGGTAGTGGGAAACTGGGTAAGGATAAGGAAGGATGGGTGGTCTTAGGATCCTATGTATAATGGACCCAAAATGTTGAGGATGTTTGTTCATTTTAAATAGATTTTTTCTCATGAAATATTTTGTACATATTCACTAGCATTTTGTGTATACTGAACATAGATGGATCATATTTCTTCAAGAAGTCAGACTTTACACATTTCAAATAGTAGTTTGCTTCCTGAAAAGTCCCTAAAATGCATGACAGATTATAAAATACAAATAAAATGCTACTTAGAATTGTGAGAAAAGTATTCAACCGAACATCTTCACTATACTTGACAGATGCCATATTTCTACTGGAAACATGGAGTCACTATCATAATTACCCTTACTTTGTGGGGAGAGGAGAGAAAAAGTTTCTTTTGTCCTTTCTGGAGGACTATGGTTTTTAAGGACAGTCACCGGGTGAGACTGACTGGGGTCAGCAATCTGGCCAGTAGGAGTCCCAGGCCTCTGGCTTTAATTATGCCCCTGAGTTATGGGTGACTTTCAGAAGTTATTATTTTTAGATGACTCCCTTCCTTTATTTACTGAGAACTTTGGAAGCAGGGACTCAAGTGAGACTAGGAGACTGGAGCTGAAAGCAGGTGACAAATGAACATGACCATTGTGAGGATGTGTTGTCCTGTCCTGTAGGCATGCCTTAACTGGGTCTAGACTTTGTTACTGACACAAGAGCTCAAGGAGAACGCATCACTTAACTCCTGGACTTCAGTGAAAGAAGTACTGGATGAACTCTGAGCTCTCTTGATAGCCAAGTTTATGACATCAACAAGAAAAACAGACTCTGGAAGAGGCATGTGGCCTCCAAAATGAAAATGTGCTGCATATTTTATTATAGAAAACCAATGACAAAGAAAAGACAAAGAGGACCAGAGGCTAAGTGACCTGAATTCCTATGAAAAGACCCAAAGATGGGCAAAAATCAAGAGGTATTCCAAAAGTTGAGTCTTACCTTCTGGTGACGGCAAAGCAGAGTGTGCACATCCCATGGAGCAGTCCTGCAGCATGCTGCAGAAATGTGGCCATCTTAGGGTTCTCGTCCACTGGGCCTTGCACCGAAAGGAAGCAGCCACACAATTTGTCAATTAGGCCTATGCTCACCACATAGCTGGAAGCAGGGGGGAAATGTGTTATCCATCTGCATGGGCTGCAGCATCTTCACGTCCACATTGAACTTTACTATCTACAGGCTTGGCCCCCTCCAGCAAGCAGACATTATACAGCTTTCAGTAAAGCATATCAAAAGCCAATTTTCTTAGATTTAGCTGTAATAATCACTATTTTTGTAATTTTTCTTTTCCTCCTTTTTTGGTTATTCTGGTGATATCTTTCAAGAAGAAGAAATGAATATGATCACCTGATCATTCTTCCTGATCTAAAGAGTCTGACAATAGGGTGAAACAATTTATAGAGTTACTTCTATACTTTTAAAAAGGAAAAAGACCAAAAAAAAAAATTAAAAAGTTATCTTTCTGATAGTATTGGGGAGCTAGATTCACCAGAATGCAGGGATTCAGAAGACATGTGATGTTACCCAGATGCTGTTACAATGCTAACTTCTAATGCCAACTGTGGGTTCCATTTAAAAATTTCATCCCCATTAAGAGGGAGTATAACAGACACAGAATCTAATTGCCTAATGTTATGAAAAGTACCAGTCTCGAGGGTTGACAATAACATTTAAGAAGTCCCTTTCATCTTTTGGGTCCAATAAACAGTTTTCTAGAGCTGTTTATTAAACTTAACTGAAAATAGTAGCTCTTTTATTAGTCCACAAAGCAGCAGTCATTGAAAGATATTTTCAAACTACAAATGATCTTGCAGAAATATCAACCTCAGCTGAAAGATTTAGTACAGATTCAGTGCCTGCATTTCCATGTCTGAAAAGGCAGGACTGAAATACAGCAGTTCTGAAAACCAGCATGTTACATGTACATTTCAGTAACATGTACAAAGGAGTCAATATTTCTGCTTGTAAATGTATTATAATCCCCATTATTACTCATTTATCAACATAATTTTGTGGAAAAGGTAGGAGAATACAATGAATAATTCATGTATGGAGTCTCCTCTAAATCCACTTTTTAGAAGCCACAAAATAATGCCTCTATTCTCTTCTCACATTAGGAAATGTGCTTGCCTGGGCTATAAGCATCTTCTACAGGTTTAAAATAGCAAAGTATAAAATGATGACCAGCAGGGGGTTTAGCTCAGTGGCACAAGTGCCTGCCTGGCAAGTATCAGGTCATGAGTTTGATCCCTGGTACCAAAACAACAACAACAATGAAATGATTACCAGCCCCATTCTAAGATAGTGGATAGATTGGTACATATTGAGGATCTTAATATAGTCTGATTTAATAGAATAAGGCATTCTTAAGGAAGTAGATAGATTGGTACATATTGAGGCTCTTAATATAATCTGATTTAATAGAATCAGGCATTCAAAAACTGGCTTTTACATTGCCTAGAACTTTTAAATTTAGAAAGTTTTGTACAAATCATTTCCAGGAGTCACCCCAAGAATACAATGAGGAAGCAGACTGTGAAAGCTTTGGTTTTTGTCTGCCTAGCATTCTGCTCTCCTGTTTTGTGTGGTTTTATGTGGGCTGTTAAACAATATACCCTGAGACCAGGAGTCAGCATGTGGTGTAGGACAGCTAGAGAACTTATCTTCTTGGCCAAAATAACTGGTCAGGATGGAGACATGATTTGACAAAAGACTATTTTATACTGTGGGATCAATACCTCACCACAGCAGCAACCTCTTTCAACTGCGATATCTAAAAGGAAAGATAAAAGTGGGGCCAACTTATTTGTTATGTGGAGAACATCTGCTGAGAAAAATGCAAGGAGACACAGAAATGAGAATGAAGCATAGTCCTAATGGCGTACTTTTAGCCTCCAATATTCCTCCTTCCTTACAATCACATACAGGTGTCAAATGAGGAAAATTAACATGGGAAAAGTACTGATTAATCTATAGCCAGCACTTCTATTTCACTGATGGTATAGTTACACTCTTAATAGATTTCTTTTTTCCTTGTCTAAGATCTTACTCAGAATCACAGGTTGACAATCCTTGCTAGCTCTCTTTACTCTTCTTTAAACAGTTTTCCACTCTTTTTCTATCTTTCATGATACTGACTTTTTTAAAAGTACCAAGCCAGTTGTTTTGTAGAATGTTCCTAGCTTGGGTATGTTCGACTTTTCCTCATGATCAGATCAAGATAATGTGTGTTTTTTGTTAAAAACAAAAACAAAAACAAAAACAAAAACAATTGAGAGCAATCTTTTCTTTTAAAACGTGGCCTCTGCAATTCTTGACCAAGAGTAAACTTAATAAAACTTGACTTGTATAATTTTGAAAATTAAGACATTTAATTTAATTCTTAATTGATACATAAAATTGTATGTTTAAGAAGTATTCTGTGATGTTTTGAAAGATTTATACATTGTGCAATCTTTAAATCAAGATGAGCATATATATCTTCTCAAACACAACACTCCTGTGGTGAAAATATTCAAAACCCTCTTCTATAGCACACTATCATTATCTACAGTCACTTTATTATACAACAGAATACCAGAACTTATTTCTATTATTTAACTATAACTTACTACCCACTGACCAGCCTTTCCCTATCTTCCTTTTTCTACCTGATCCTTCCAGCCTCTGGTAAATACTATTCTACTCTTAATTTCTGTGAAACTGAAATTTTAAAAATTTACCAAATAAGTGAGATCATGTAGTATTTGTCTTTTTGTGCCCAGCTTATTTCCTTTAACATAATGATCTCCAGTTATGTCCATGTTATTATAAATGACAGGATTTTATCTTTTAAAAAATGACTAAATAGTATTTCATTGTGTACATGTACCACATCTTTTTTATTCATTCATCATTTGGTGGATATTCAGGTTGCTTCCATTTCTTGGCTGTTATGAGTGTTGCAGTAAACATAGCAATGTAGATGAATTGTCAATGTACTGATTTCATTTACTTTGTGTGTGTAATAAGCAGTGGGGTTTCTGGATTACATGGAAACCCCATTTTTAATTTTTTTAAAAAATTTTTTATCGGTACCAGGGATCGAACTCATGACTGCCTGCTTGCAAGGCAGGTGCTTATGCCACTGAGCTAAATTCCCAGCCCCTCATTTTTAATTTTTTGAGGAATCTTTGTAACACTTTCTATAATGGTTGTATAAATTTATATTTTAACCAACACTGTGTAAATGTTCTCTTATCTCTCCATCTTTACCAGCACTTATCATTTCTTTGATAATAGCCATTCTAACTGGGGTACGGTGATACCCTGTTATGGTTTTAATTTGTATTTCTCTCAAGATTAGTGATTTTGAACATTTTTTCATGTATCCATTGGCCACTTGTACATCTTTTCAGAAATTTTCATTTAGGTCTGTGTGTACTTTTAAAATGGACTATTTGCTCATTCGCTACGTCTTTATTCTGATTTGATTTTTTTGTATATGGTGAGATAACAAAGGTTTAGTTTCATTCTTCCACATTTGTATATTGAATTTTCCTAGCATCATTTAATGAAGGGATGACTGTCCTTGAAACATATAGCACACTATCATTATGTGTTCCAATGTTCACACTTTGTCAAAGACAAAGTTAGTTATAGATGCTTAGATTTAATTCTGGGCTTTCTGTTCCATTGACCTAAGCATCTACTTTTATGCTAATATCATGTTTGCTGATTACTATGGCACTATAGTACATTTTGAGGTTAGATAGTACAGTATCTACTGCGTTGTTCTATTTTGCTCAAGATCACTGTGGCTATTTTTTTCTGTGATTCCATACAAATTTTAGGAATACATTTATCTAGTATGGTAGAATTGTCATGAATATATTGATAAGGACTCCAGATGTCAAATCTTGACCTTCCAGGTATACATGGCAATTTACCACTCTTTGTGCCTATATTATTTCAAGTTAGGTTTCTAAAATTGTTTTAATCATAGAAAGTAGAATAACTCTTACTGATTACAAAATACAGTAATAGGCTTGCTGGGCATGATGACACATAGCTGTAATCCCAGCACTTGGAAGGCTGAGGCAGGAGGACTGCTGTGAGTTCCAGGCCAACCTGGGCTACATTGTGAGCTCAAGACCAGCCTGAACTACATAGTGAGACCCTGTCTCAAAACACAAAAGAAAAATAAAATAAAAAAGTAATAAACTCATTATGGAAATATATCTTTGTATGCACTATATTTTATTCCTTTAAAACTTCCTTATTCCTTTATAGGTGGGGCCTGGAAGTATAGCTCAGTTTGGCTAGCAAACACAAAGTCCTCCATTCAATCCCCAGTACCACCAAAAAACAAACACAAAAATTACTGAAAAGATTTAATATAAACCAAAGATAAAACAGGATAAGAAATTTCCATGTATTCATTGCCCAGAAATGGCTACCATCACTCCATGGCAATCTCATCCATCCCCACTCATCTTGCAGATTATTTCATCAAATTCAAGGCATCATACTATTATATTTGTGAGTATTTTAGTATGTTTCTCTAAAAATATCTTTTAAAACATGACCACAATACCATTATTATACCTGAAAAATCATAATTTGTTCGTATTAAGTTGCAAATTTACAAATGATTGTGTCAACATTTTTAATAATTAAAAAAATTATCATCAAAATAAGAACCACATACTATGATCAGCTAATAGTCTTACATTTCTTTAAACTGCTGGTTACTTCTCCATCTCTCCTTTTGACCTACTTTACAAATTTATTTGTTGATAAAACTTCATTGTTTACTTTTGTCACAAACTGAATTTTGCTGATTATATCCCTGTGATATCATGTAACATGGTTTTCTGTATGATGCATTTCCTGTAAAATGATCTAGATTGTAGAGGCTAAAAACATTTGTAAGGGTTGAATAATATCCTACTAGTAAAATAGCTTTGGAACTTCTAGTTGTTCTCAATATTCACTACTATAAACCATGTTAATAAACATTTTTTGTGCAAATCCTTACCAGATTTCAGATTACTTTTTAGAAGTGGAATTACTGAGTTAAAGAGTATACATATTATTGAGGTCTAGATATGGATAGCCATATTACACTCTAAAAACTCTGAATAATTTACAGTTCATTCAGCAGGGTCCATAAAGACCATGCTCACCACATGGGAATTATATTGCTAACCCTGTGAGATAGAGAAGAAAACTGAGGCTCAAGAAGGGCAAAACATTAGCTCACACAAGAGAGGTAGAACATTCAAGATCTGTTGACTCCTACCATAAGACTGTCCTTGCCACTAACTATGCTGCTTCTTTGTGGCATCAGTGAGTGTGTGGATGCTTTTTGAAATTTCAATTTTCAATAAGAGCATAAAATTACTACTGAGATCATTCCTGAGTTTAATAGTGACCACACATAGCTTTAAAACTACAAAGTCTTGGGGCTGGGGATTTAGCTCAGTGGCATAAGCACCTGCCTTGCAAGCAGGCAGTCGTGAGTTCGATCCCTGGTACTGATAAAAACGAAAAAGACAAAAGAAAAAAAAAAAACCTACAAAGTCTCAAGACAAAAATGGTTTAAATGCTATCAATAATTTTGTTTCTGTGTATATTGCTATATTTTATAATAAAGTAATATTACATTTAAACATTGAAAAAGATACATTTCTGCCTTTTCTATGCTGAATGAGGAAATGAGCGAGATGGATGTATGTCAGGGTCTGGTCCAGCTCCGGCTACACCTGGGAGGTGTGAGCCAGAGAACAGCCCCAAACATTGGGCTGGAACCCCTTCTCAATTTCTTAACTGACAAAAGTACCCATATGGTAGCAGAAAGTGCAGTGAGATTTCTGATCAGTTCATATCTGGGAAGGTGAGAAAACAAGTAAGGGAACAACTGCACATGCTCTGTATGCAATACCCAGGAAAATTCAAGACAGGCTTGTGGTTCTGCACACAAAAATCATCAATCCAACTGACAATATATCTATAAGAAAATAACATTTACCAAATGAGATTCAAATCAGAGGAGGATGGCACAGGTCTGTTCTGAAGCACTGTGGTATCTTTTGTTAAGTCATATGAGTTAACCTATTTGGCAGAACTACTGTTGTTTTTTTTCCCATAATTCCTTCTTCTTTTAAGAAGAGGTATGTGTGTTTGTGTGTGTGTGTGTTGCTAGGGATCAAAACCAGGGCTTTACACATGTTAGGCAAATGTCTTAGCAATGAGCCACATTCCCAGTCCCTGGATTTGTAACTATGTGTGTAACTATAATAATACCCTATGTAAAAATGTATTTTCTCTAGGAAGGCCCACTGGAACTGTACTGGAGCCTCAGGCCAGGTCCTTCACCACATACAGCAGGAAATGTGGCTAAGGTGTCCGGATGACATGAATATAGGCCTGCTACACCACAGGGTAATCCATGAGAGAATAGTGAGACAGAATGGTACTCATCAGCAGAGAGGCATAAGCTCCACAGTGACCATAAGACACAGGAAAATTGAATGGGATCAGGCAACTGAGAGAAAGGGCAGGGAGGCTAAAAGTCAAGTGCTGTAAGATAAATGGTTGTAGACCCAAAGGGCCTGGTGCTCTCCAGCAATAAATATGCTTGGGGAAAGAGGACAAGCAGATGGAAGGGATAAGTGAACAAAGCAATCAAGAGTAAAGAAGATACTGAATGAAGCAACTGGTCCCAAAAAAGCACTACAAGAAGCCAGAGGAAATTTATGAACTGTGAAAGAAACGAATGCAGGGGAGGGCATTCTCTTTTTCCTATTAACCTACCATAAGCTTCAGAGTACAACAAATTGCATGGATTTGGAGAGCCAGAGATCAGTACAGACCACAGAAGAGTTGCTGACTGATGGAACAGGTAACTGGTGAACACCAGAGGGAATCATGCTGGGAAATTAAATGTCCTACTCGTTCAAGATTCTGCAGGGAAAAGGAGTTCAGATGCCAAAGTGGGAGTAAATTTCCCTGGGGAAAAGGAGATCTTGAGAGGAAAGACAGCTAACCTTGAACAGGTGTCAGAAATTGCCACAGCTGTGTGGCAAACAGATGTTGGCAATCCAGTTAGATGTGAGTTCCAGCCTCAGCTTTCCTACCTACTTTTACACTTATTCATTGTATAACCTTAGCTGAAACACTTAACCTCTCTCAGCAATTTCCTCATTTATAAAGCCCGAATTAGAAATCCTATACTTACAGGGCTGCAATGACTCTTACAATACCTCATATGTAATGAGCACTCCATATTTGGTGGCTATTATTCTTGATTTAAGCCTGAAACGAATTTGAAACCACAGAAAAACTGAGGGAAATTCTCAGACATTTCTTGAGTTAGAGAGAGCTGATATCATGAGAGCTGTAAGAGCTCCAACATGACATATCTTAACATCATACAGCCAAATATCAAGAATGGCAGCTGAGTTTGAGGTTGCTTTTCAGTAACATTTTCCTTCTCTCTATAAATGTGGTGTATCCTCTGTCAGGAATTTGTGGAGAATGTTGTGATAAACACTGTCCTTGTGCAGGCATCAGGGTTTAAATTATTTTAATATCACTTTTAAAATAAAGTTTAAAAAATCCATTTTACCTGATAAGGTCCTGAACTCGACTGTTAAAAGCATCACCTTGTGAAGGTTTGTTTTTCATTTCCTGTGTTGATATTTTTGGTGTGGTTGGCCGGCTGTTTCCATCTGGTCGATTAGCAATCAGGCAGCCAAAAACCGCAGCAATGACTTTGAGAAGTCCAGTTGTCAGGCCTTCAAAAACTTGTTTATTTGTATTTCTTCCCAAAATAGCATTATTTTCATCTGGAACATAAACCTAAAAGAAAAAAAATTTACAGTAAATGTGTTTTGATAAAGCCACTGAAAATGAACAGAGATGATTTAGAACATTTCTGGGATCATAAATAATTTTGAAATTCTAGTGGGGATGATGCAATGGTCAAGGATGTTGGCTCTGAAGTCAGACAGCCAGTTCAAATCCCAGTATGGCCTTCACAAGCTAGTGACCTTGTGCAGATTACTACTCAATTTTATCATTCATTATTACTGCAATTTCATCATTTATAAAACAGGTAATGGAAGTACCTATAATTCAGGTGCCTGTCAGGATTCAGTAGCTACTGAACATAAAATGCTTATCAACACATGCATAGGCACAGAATATTAATCTATATTAAAATTTTATACTAACTCAGAAAATACAGCCATTAATAAGTAGACATCATGGGGGCTGGGGATTTAGTTCAGTGGCATAAGCACTTGCCTTGCAAGCAGGCAGTAGTGAGTTCAATCTCTGGTACCGATAAAAACAAAACAAAAAAGACAAAAAAAAAAAAGTAGACACCATTCTTTATTAGAACAAATTTTAAAAACTAGACTCTACATTCCTCTGTTATGATGCATTTGCATTTCTTATTACAACATGGCAAAATAGTTGCTTTCCTGGAACAGTAGAGTCACATTTGGCTCTGTGTACAGCTTATAGGAAGTAATGTGGCTAACAGTTGGATGTGGAGTCACAAACGAGTTGAGTTCTGATTCTGAAGCTATCTGATCTGAGGGATCTGAGAAACCCTGCTGTCAGCCTTCAGAAATTTGTTTATTAATATTTCTTCCAAAAATAGAAAGGGTTTGGGAGGGATGGCTACTTGGGACAGTACATGCAGCAGATGAGACAGGGGGCACAAAGGACAGCTAACTGGCCTCTTTTAGGTGTTCTATAGTTTCCCCCTCTTTTCAGCCCCACCCACACTCTTGTTATCTGAGATAGCTGGTAATCCTAATTCTCGAGCCTTTTGGCACAGTTTTCTTCTGGCTTTGTTCCTGGCAGTTTAGTTTTTAGCTTTTAGGTACATTTCAATCATCTGCTTTCCAGATTAAAACATATTTGCTTTCTTTTCCTTCCTGTGCTTTTTGTTTAAGGGCTTATGACTTTATCTATTTACTGTAAAGTTACTTGGGCATCCAGACAGAAAGAATGTAACTTATGTGTTTAATCAGCCATATTTTAAAATTAACTCCAGTAACTTCTCTAGGAATACAACATCCTTGCTCATTCACATGCTACAAAAGAATGAGTAATAAAAAAAAAAGAAAAAGAAGGAGTAATACATTTCTGGGTAATGTAAGGGTACTTCATTACAAATATCCATATTTCCTTTTTTCAACAATATTGTGCTGCTTTTCATCATGAAATCTTTCCAATAAAATATTATGCATTTATGCAGGTATATTTAACAACCTTTTGTCTATCTGGTATTTTATTCAATTATTGCATCCTTTAAGAGAACAGCTGAAATAAAAAAAGAACTAAAAAGGGCTCTCAGATATTAATGAATGGTCACTTGCTCATCTAACATTTGAATACCTAGCACATGTTGGCCGAGGGAACACAGTGGTGCTTTGCTTATCCTTGGGTTTTCCTCCACATTCTCTTCCCCTTCCCTTTCCTTTTTCTTGATCTCTTTCTAGCACTGGAGGTTGAACCCAGAGCATTTACACTGAGCTATGCCCCCAGTCCTTTTTTATTTTGAGATAGGGCATTATTAAATTGCCCAGGATGGGCTTGAATTTGCCATCCTCCTGCTTCAGCTTCCTGGAAAGCTGAGAGTACAGGTGTACAGCACTACATTTCAGCCTTGGGTAACAAGCTGTGCTTTTTTAATTTATAGAACAGAAGGGCCAGGCATGGTGGTGCACACTTGTAATTCCAGCACTCAGGAGGCAGAGGCAGGAGGATTGCTGTGAATTCCAGGCCAGCCTAGGCTACATAGTGAGTTCAAGGCCAGTCTCAATGACATAGTGAGACACTGTCTCAAAATCAAAAGCAAAAGCAAAAACAAAAACAAACAGACAAAAGAACAGAAGGAACATAAAAAAGTATCGACAATCTGAGAAACAAGCACAAGAAAAGCCATAAAAATACAAAAGGTATGCAATATAGAAAGTGGTATCCTCACTCACTTTTATTTTCTATTAAATTATTATGTATCACAAGTCAGTATAACTGCTGATATTCAAAATAACAAGAAATCCTGAGATGCCAAGAAAAGGTTAAATTATGAGCCATGTTCATGAGATGGTGAGGGAAGGATAAAAACTAATGTTTATTGAAGATTTCTGCTATGCCAAGTACACAGGCACTTGCCTTTTACCATCCATCCCCGTAGTCTTGAACAGATTGAGGAATCATATTTTCTTTACCCAAGTTTCACAACTAGTTAACGAGGAGCTGGGCCTTGAACCTTGTCTGTTAGGCTTTAATGCTCAATGTTTATTCCCTTACCCTCACCCACTAAACGCTATCTGGTTCTCTTTTACTGAGCATTCTGGAGAAATTCTCTCCCTAGTGGAGGGAGATGAAAACTAATTGTGGCCAAATGCTGACCCACTTATATATCTTCTGATAAAAATCATGGATTCCACAAGAGCTCTACTCTTTGGCAAGACAGTAAGAAAATATGTGAGGTTTGCTGAGAAAACACTGGATGAAATATATTCACTTTATTATTCAGAAATATAAAAAAGAGCACAGGCCAAATGTCACTTCTTTATTTGACACAAGATAACCAGCTCAATGTAAAGCAAATCAGATATATTTTTACACTGTTCACTGGGATACAGGGTAAAAAGGGTTGGGAAGAGATTACAACTTGGGACAGTATATGTAGCAGATGAGACTGTTCACTGGAACTTTGTGCATAATTTAATAAGCACCATTTTGTCAGTGGCTCATAAAGTCAACACAAACTAAAAAACTTCTGTAACCATTTACTACAAGGCAGGACATGGTGGTGCATGTCTGTAGTTCCAGCATTTGGAAGACTGAGGTAGGAAGACTACCGTGAGTTCAAGGTCAGTCTGCATTCCACAGTGAGCTCTTGCCTACCCTGAACTATGCAGTGAGACCCTGTCTCACAAAACAAAACACTCAAAACAAAAACCAAACAAAGACCAATAAACAATTTACCAGCTACAATGAGAACCTTGAAGAAGGCAGGCTTCCTTTGCTAGGTTTGTGGGCATGAATGGGACCTCAAATGGGGGGCATCCCCGAGCTGAGTGACTTTTGCTTTCTCACTGAGATTTCGTATTTTCTGTCTCTTTGAGCCTCATATCCAATTTGGTCACTCAGATTTTTATTTCCAGTAGTGTTTTATCTTATTTACTCATTTAGCATGAGTCCTTTCATGGCTGACCACAGAGCATTCTGCCAATAACCTTTGGTGGAATGTTTCTGAATCCCAGTGAGATTTCACTTCATTCAACTAGTCACAGAAATTCTCTTCTCTTTGTGTAGATTTTTCTTTTGCTGTTTTAAAATTATTTTATAGCAGTGTTTTTATGTATAATCAGTAATAATGTTTATTGTTTTTTTAAATTTCTATTCTTATCTCTAGCAAAAATATTCTTGAAATAATTCTGAAGCACTAAGAACATACAGTCAAATAATCATTAAAATTCTAAATGTTGACCAGGGCCTAATAAAATAATCTCTTTACCATCAGTAGTAACACATAATACATGAACTAATCTGCATACATTAAAAAATGCTTTGAAGGGATTACAATGTGAATAAGGTTGCACAAATCTCACACGTACAACTACATAAAAAATCATGTCCATGAATTCAACGCACTTAGATTGGCAGACCTCAGGAGAAAAAAAGCAAGCAGCTTTTGATAGTTACTTCTGTTTTCTCAGATTCTTAGTTCAATCCACTCTTTTTTTTGTCCTTTCTTCTCCTTCTCAACAAGAACAGGTTTTCTCCAACAAATACACTTTTAGACTGTCCTGCATCTTTGGAAGCAAAATTAAGTCTCTGCTTGGATTTACTGACGTTCTACAAACCTGGATTTGAATTCTGTTGTTTTAAGTTTTTCTTAACAGAGCTCATAACTCTGAGTTTTCTTCCCATTAGCTCAGAAGTATTTAATGCCAGAGAACAAGATTAACAGCATCTGTGTTCCCAAAGAGCATGTAGCCAAACCATTTGCTGACTCCTGTAACTGGGTCTCTCACACTCCTCACTGCCACAGTACTGCCACGGTTCACAAAGTGTTCTTCCTCAGCAGTTTCTTCAACTTTGTAAGGGAGATTCCTGGCAAACACTGATCTCTCGTCCCTAGATGAGGTCTCAGATGCAAGATCAACTCAAATATGAAATTCATCTGCAATCTTGGCCCCACTGCTTTTCAATGCTGTTGTATCAGTACTTTCATTTTTTTTTATTTAAAGAAAAGGAAACAAAAAAATACATGGAGATAGAGTAGAAATAATACAAAATTACAGAAAAACAAACGGTAAGAAATCGCTGGTTGATCAGTTCATATTGTCATCTTAGAAATAGCTTTTCAGGTTACAAAATTAAAGTATTTAAAAAGACATTCAAAAAGTGACACTGCAAACAGTTCTGCTCAATGATCGAACAAAAACTCAGCAATATGGTTATCAGTCTTACACACTTGTTTTACATCTCAAAGAGGGTAAGATTAAACATATCAAAACAGAACAAAACAGTTAAAAAAACAATTTAAAGAAATACAGATTTCAAAGCAAGTCCACTGGAGATCTTCACTGTCTATCTAACTGTCTCTAGTTTCTTACAAATAGTTGTCCCCCTCTTCACCCACATTATATACTTATTGCATATTATAGAACTAATCAAATCATTACAGGATGATGAAGGCTTTTTAGGTCTTCAAGATCCAACATTAGGGAAGACAATAATAACTACCATCGCATCTCTCATTCTCTTCGTGGTAGCTTTCCCATCTCTACATATGCTGAAACTGAACTCAAGAGACCAGACCAATG